CCGAGTTCTCTTGCGGCTTGCTTCACATATACCTTGGTTTTCAGCTAGGGCTTGTTCTTTTTTCCCTCGTTTCCTGGCTTTGTGTTTGGTGTTTCTTTGTTGCTTGTTGCCCTAATCATGTATCCCAGCAAAGTTGATAAGTTGACCATCAAGTTCGATTGTAAGAATTTTGTACTTTCGGAGTTTCAATTCCGCAACCTTGCTGAAGGCCGCCATCTGGGGTAAAATACCTCGGGTACCACTAAAGTATGAGAATGGGGGGAGCTATACCACTTAACTAAGAATAGTGCATCGCGTACCACTGAACTCTATTATATGTGCACACTGTACCACTTAAGTTTAATGCTAAGTGCATAACGTTAAAATTGACAGAATATTCTTGGAATATTCCATTTTTTAAATTGTATAATTGGTCCTTCAACTTTTCTTATCGTAAAAAAACTATTTAGACTTATGAAAAACATAAAATTTTATTGTTTAATTGAAATCCTCTTTTGAATACTTAATACCAAATTAATTTTTGAATATAAAATTTAGAATCAATTATCATTATAAGTTTTTCAATTATCAATATATGTTCTTATAATTAAATAATTTCCTAAATCAAATATATCTTATGAATTCTATCTCGATATTAATAGTCAAAGAATGTTATTTTTAGTTCACTTACACTATGGTGATATTGTCTAATTTTCTATGTTGTCTAATATTATATTGTAGATGTTTCATATTACTTAAATTTAGTAATTCTAATTCTCTTCGTATAATCATATTTTCTTACTGAACGTTGTAGCTTTTATATTTCATTTTTTCCCAAGGCAAGCCCAGACGGCATGGGACAAAGACTCGACTCAGGTACAAGTAGATTCCAAAAAAGGACGGTAATCCGTAAGCAAGCGGATTCCCGATGAAAGAGACTGATTAGCCACTACATGGGCAGCTCTGTTAAAGCTCCGAGGAGCAAAAAGACACGACAATGACTCAAAAAATGAGAAAAAGAAGTGAACTTCCTCCAAGACAGCCCATGCGCGAGAGTGAGAAGCGTTCTTTGCCATAGCGTGCTTGATAACCAGTTGAGCATCTCCAAAAAATGCAACCACCAAAAAATTAAGTGTTAAGCACCATCTCATAGCGTCTCTAAGAGCTAGAAGCTCGAAAATGTAAGCCTCTGAAATTCCTTCATAATATTTACCAAAAGCAAAGGATAACGTACCGTCTCTCGAGAATCCCGCAAATCCGATTGAGCCTCCTTGGTTTTTCTTCATGGCTCCGTCAAATCTCACAATGATACCGTTATTAGGGCATATGGCATCTTGATGACTCCTTCGATATCCTATTTGATTGTTAGGGTTCGCCGATGATCTCTGGACACTTGTGGGTTGCCGAGCTTTCTGTACCTCCGCCGTTCGCCATTCCTCTATATATGCTGTTAGTTGTCGGAACGGAACTCGAGCTTGAAATAATACTAAAGCATAAGTAGCTTTGCATCTTCCTTCCCAAATTCACCAGAATAGGAAAACCGTATCGGCAATCTCGATCTTGGAGATGTGAGTAGCGCATAATAGATTTTTCCATGGCAGATCTGGTTGGAAGGAGCGCATTGAGTTTCTACGATGCTCCAATCCAGCCATAATCCATAACTCTTTTGCAATCGTACATTTAAAAAAGCAATGATTAATGTCCTCGGTTGGCTCACAACACACTAGACACTCACTAGAAGTAGTCAATTTTTGAATTTGATGTATTCTGCGAATAGGAAGGAACCTCCAAACTATCCTCCAAAGGAAGAATTTCAGTGTTGGTGGCACTGGTAAACTCCATAATGATTTCCAAAATTTTGTGTCCAAGTAGTCTAGTATACTATTATGAAATGGGTTAATTTCATTTGTTAAAAGGTGGTACCCCGATTTCACTGTATATTGACCAGATTCATCATAGTGCCAGATGAGTTTATCTTCCCTCGGATATGAGGGTAGAGGTATGGACATAATTAGTTCGGCAGAAGCTAGGTAGAATAAAGATCGAATCTTGTTAAAGTTCCAAGTAAACGTTATTGGATCGATAAGGTAGGATACTACTGGACCTTCTAAGGTCATACATGTCTTCAAGATTGGGTAGGAGGATGGATCTGAAGGTATCCAGAGATCCTGTAGAATGTATATTGAGGACGCTGATCCCACTTGCCAATCGCAGGCCCTTTTTATTTTTTAAGAAGGTGCTTCCCTTCAAGAATATCTTGCCAAGCCCAAGAAGGACGGTATCTTGCTCTCGCATTTAGGAAATGGTCATTAGGGTGATACCGGGCTTTATATATTTTTGCCAAAGTATTATCGGGATCTATTAGTAGTTTCCAGGCTTGTTTGGCTAACATGGCTATGTTAAATCGGTCGAAGTCTCTGAATCCCAAACCTCCCTCAAATTTACTATTACATACTTTAGGCCATGAAAGCCAATGCATCCCTTTGTCTTTGTCTTGGTTAGCCCACCAAAATCGGGCCAATTGACTATTAAGTCTTCGACATTGAGTAGAAGGGATGTGGAAACTTGACATGGCATAGATTGGTGTGGCTGATCATATCGATTTTATCACCACTTCTTTGATTGCAATGACATATGTTTAGATTTCCATTTCTAGATCCGAGCCGCTAAAAAGTCCTCAATATACCGAAATGTAAGGACTTTAGATCGATGGATTCTTGATGGAAGAACTAGATATCGATCATGGGTCCCTATTTTGGCGACTCCTAGAGCATTTGCTAATTTTGTAGCCTCTTGTTAAGAGATATTGGAACTAAAGGTAACGGCCAATTTCTGGAGGTTAACTCGTTGACCGCTTGCAGCTTCATATGATTGCAGTAATCCCAACAAATTTGCTATTTCTGGTCTTGAGGCTCTAAGAAAGAGATATGAGTCATCAGCAAAAAAGAGGTGAGAGGTCATGGGAGCCTCCCTATTTATTACTTGGTTACTTTTCGTCTCTTTTCTTTCTAAATGTTTTTTCAATTACTTGAATATTTTTTACTCCTTATTTTTAATGGTGCTTCTAATTGAATTAGGGTGTTTAAATAGATATTATAATATTAATTTTAAATATTTATTATTATATTCTAGTATATTTTTTTTAATATTTTTACTAATTTATCTATTTTATTGAAAAAAAATTATTAGTCATTTTATTAATAATATTTTTAGAAGGTTTTCTAATTTTTATATTAGATTAAAATTGTTGAAATATAATTTTGATTTTTTTTTTAAGTTTTGGTTACCAAAAAGTAATTAAAGGTTTCGGTTGGATGGAAAAGTAGATGGATGCACATTTTGACAACTTTAATGGTACCCGACGCACTATTTAAACTTAAGTGGTATGTCTACCCCAATTCTCAAACTTAAGTGGTAGCTGAGGTATTTTACCCCCACCATCTGCTTGATATTTTGACAGGTGATGCTCCTCATCCTACGGCTACTGCTGATGCTAAAGAACGTTCTGATTGGACTATGGGTAATGCTCAGATTACTGCATGGCTTCTGGCTTCCGTTGATCCCCTCACAACTCTCACTCTTTATCATTTTACTACTAATGCGGAGATGTGGAATCATCTTCGCCCCATTCATTCTAAAAAGGACGTTTCGCGACAGTTTCAGCTTGAAACTGAATTGGCTACTCTCTCTCAAGGGGAGCGATTTAATATTAAAACTTTCCGTCGTGTCGCGCCACTTGTTTCCCTTCCTTCCATAATCGTCAAGAAAGCCTCGACGGAGCTGAAAAAACCTTGGGCATTGTCTTTGGTGAGAGGAATATCCTCTCCATGGACTAATGTCTAATTGACGATACCACGTTAAAATCTCTTTGTCTTCTTTAATTTTATGCTATTTGGTTTGCTTAATTTACAATAGGCACGACTAATCGGCGTGAGTTGTGATTAACTAAAGTGAGGCGCACTGGTCAATGAGACAAAGACTCTAAACTCGGGTATTGCAATGACTTCTTCTTTCTACTCCATCACTTTCGACCCCTACCTCGCTTTTTGTCGTTGCTGACTGCAAAGCAGTCACAATCCACAAACTTTGAAGTTCTTATCCACCTATAGTCGACCCGACTCTCTAACTTGCTTTTTGACTGCGTCGACCGCAGAACAATCACAACCCCGACTTCTATAAAACTTCTGATTATAGGAAACCAATGACATATTTTGTTTGTGTTGAGCATTAACTGAGTTATTAATAATTTGAAATCGAGTTAAAGTAATTTTTTTTGTTATTTCTTCTAAAAAACCCACTATTTTTGCTTAAAACACATAGACACCGCTTAAGCTTGCTAGTCGCTAGCCATTAGGTAGTAGTAGCACTAGCACCCAATACCTGCCTCTCACCTTGTCCTTTAAATCTTGAATTTTTAAAGGTGAATTGTTTGCAGAACCAATTACATGTATTATTTTGATTATCATTTCAAATTTTATGCAATCCAACTTAAGTTTATTTCATTGCACCTATATTAATGTAATTTACTTGCAATTTCATATATGTGAGTTTAAGTGACTTTATAATAAATAAAAATAAATTAATTAAGGGAGAAAAATAAATTATTAATTTTCAATTTTCCTATATAACTTGCATCTTTAATTTCATTTAATGCAAACTTGCATTGATGCAAAAACCCACTACAATAACGCAATTTCATTTACAATTGCATATTGTATAACCATGTAGGATTTGCAATTGAGCAAATAGCTGTGGATGATACCAGAAACGAAGTTTCGTTTGTCACTTGGGCTCGTGGGGGAGGGATGTTGGGCGGGCTACTTTAATATTGCTGGTCGGTCCAATTTCGACCACGTTCGAAACATCTTTGTTTGGGCCTTGCTTTCAACGGAATTGCCTACTGAGACTGATCCAATATTAAGGATAGCTAGTCGGCCCAATTTTGGCAATTCCTTTCCTAGTTCACCAACAATCCAACGGCTAAGCTCTTTCCGAAAGCATTTAATCAATCCAATCACCACGATGCACCCACCTGTCCGGTCAATACAAAAAAAAAAAAAAAAAAAAAAAAATTGTTGAAATTGTTTCGACTTTCCCAGCCCAGCCGAGTCCAATGGCTTCCTTGACCATCTGTAGAGCCACTCTCACTCGCTTGCCTGCTCTTCAGCTGACCACGTCTCCTTCTGCTTCTCCTTCCGTCTCCTTCAACTTCAACTGCTTCCGCTCGAGGATTCTCCGCATCATCTCGCCGAAGCGGCATCATCACCACCGTGCTACAATGGCTTCTTCGGCGCCAGCGCAAGAGAGAACAACTGCTCCTTACGGCTCGTGGAAGTCCCCGATCACTGCGGATGTTGTCTCCGGCGCTTCCAAGCGCCTCGGCGGTACTGCTGTCGACGGCCAAGGACGCCTGATCGTGCTCGAATCACGTCCAAATGAAGGAGGGTAAGTAGCTGTGACTTGTGTAGATGACCTGTTTGATAAATTGCTTCGGCGAATATAAATTGAAGTTCTGCTAATTGTATGGTTATCTGCGTAGACGAGCTGTTCTTGTGAGACTAGCTGATAAGGCCGGAGACGAAGCTGTTGACCTCACTCCGAAGGAATTCGCGGTCAGAACGACTTGTCAGGAGTATGGAGGTGGCGCGTTTGCGGTCTCCGAGGACACTGTCATTTTCTCAAACTACAAGGATCAAAGGCTTTACAAGCAGTCAATCAATGGCCGAGGTTCGTCGCGGTGTTCGGCCTAAGCCTTTGCTTCTATTGTTTGTTTTCTGATGTCCGATTTGGGAAATTCTGTTTGTGTGAGTAATCTGTTGATAGAGTTTGACTTTATGATGGTGTTGCGCTGCAGATTCTACTCCCGTGGCCATTACACCTGACTATGGCGGTCCTGTAATCTCCTATGCTGATGGAGTCTTTGATTATCGGTTTAATCGGTTTTTTACTGTGAGGGAAGGTAAGAGTTCTTCTGAACATAGTTATTTCATATTCGGCGGTCCTTGTTTGAAGTTGCAACTACTGTGTATTGTGACATTGATAATAATTTTTTCTTTGCATAGCAAGCTCATAATAATTTTTCATCTTGATAGATCAACGTGAGAGTGCCACAAATTCAACCACGACGATTGTCGCAGTAGATCTTAACGGAAAAGATGTACAAGGCATGTATTTATCAACTGCTGTTACTATAGTTGATTTCCAACGTTTTAGCACAGTGAAATGGACATACTTCAAAACATGTCCGTTTCTGTGTGAGTTTATCTTATGCTGCGTGAAATGACATTCTTTTGCACTTTGGTTAATGTCTTCTCAGAGCCGACAGTAGTCATTAGTGGCAACGACTTCTATGCATTTCCACGTCTCGACCCAAAAGGTGAACGCATAGCATGGATTGAGTGGGGTCACCCAAACATGCCATGGGACAGATCAGAGCTTTGGGTTGGATACATTTCTGAAAATGGGTAAGCAGAAATTTGTTCATGTTCTGTGTCTTGAACTTGGAGTTGTGACCAGTCATGGCTGTTTCTGTTCTTATGTTGATGCATAAATGCAGTACGCACATACTGTTATTGCACCTAGAGATTATGATATCGCGGTTGACAAAATCCTGCCCACTCTAACAAAGTTTGGTTGATGCAGATTTGTTAGATGTATGATATCTTGTCCTCAAGTCAACATTTGCTGTTTTATTTGCTTGCAATTGTTTCCTTACAAGATAAAGTGGCTTGATCCTCATGCCAAAATGATTTTATTGTTTCTTTTTTGCAGAGAGATCCACAAACGCACATGTGTGGCTGGTTATGATCCTTCACTTGTGGAGTCTCCAACGGAGCCTAAGTGGTCCCCCGGAGGTACTTGCTTTTGATTGGCACTGAACGGAATTTGATACTTGAAAAGTCAGTTGCTACCTTGTATAAATTTCAGTGAATTATTCATTCTATTCCGGGAAAGAGTAATTTTTCTCATTTAGCTATTATGTTTTGTTGAAGAAACTAAGTGGTCAGCGACCTCTATTTGAATCTTTTTTCCCCCTCAACCAATATATCATATTCAGAGTTTTAACTCGGGCTTTGTGATCCATTTCTGTATGTAAACATCATATTCAATTTGTTACATGTGTTCGTATTTGCTTTTGCATCAGGGGAACTGTTCTTTGTTACTGATAGGAAAAGTGGATTCTGGAATCTCTACAAATGGGTAAGTTCTTCTCTGAAAATTTCAGAGGCATCTGGTATGCGTGACATTCATAATCTTTACTTCCAGAAGTTGAGGAAAATGCATGATTTGCTGTTTTTCATTGGCCTACAGCGATGAGTCTGTGATTAGTTAACTTTTTTTTGGGTAGGAAGAGCAGTGAACTTTGCTCCTACTGACAATGAATAAAAGTTTGAACCAACAGTGTGGGCTTATGTTGTTATAAAGTAGAGGTTAATAGGTTTCCTCTACATCGTCAATTCAAGCTACTTCTTTTTAGTGGCATAGATGTTCAGCATCATGCTGCAATAATTTCCTACAAAGTGCACTAATTCTTTATTCTGTGCAAACAGATTGAATCTGAAAATAGTGTGCAAGTAGTATATTCTCTGGATGCTGAGTTCTCCAAACCATTGTGGGTGTTCGGCTCCAGCTCCTATGTACTACTTCAGAATAATGAGGGAAAGAACCTAATTGCCTGCGGCTATAGGTAAGCCCAAGTGTCTTGCAACTTGTTTTCTGTATTTTATGCATGTACCATGACTGGAAACTCCATTCCCGTTTAATGTTTTCTTCTGTGCATGCATCCGCTCTCGAGCCAAGTGTTGTTGATGTTTCGGATGTTTTCTGTGCAGGCAGAAAGGAAGGTCTTATTTAAGTATTGTGTATGATGCTCAAAGCTCCTTATCTGTACTTGATATTCCTTTCACAGACATAGATAACATTGTATGTACCAGTGCGTTGTTTCTTTCCTGTTTGCAGCATTTAAGGAGGATACAGGTGCCCATTACTAATATATTGTTTTTTTTAAACAGACTTTGGGAAATCACTGCTTATATATTGAGGGAGCATCTGCTGTTGATCCATCATCAGTGGCTAAGGTGCTGAATAATTTTTATAAACTGAGATTTCATAGTAGAGGCTTAACGTGTGCAGAACACTTTTATTTTTTGTTTGTAACAATATACTCCATACACTTCACCATTTTTCTTTTGGGATATAGGACCAATGATCCAAATCCTGAGTGAAGTAATTATCATAGAAGCCATCTGTGTTTCGCTGTTTCAGATAACTCTAGATGCCATTCACTCCAAAGTGCTCGAGTTCAACATAATTTGGTCATCTTCACCTGACAGTTCAAAGTACCAGTCTTACTATAGCTTGCCGGAGTTTATTGAATTCCCTACAGAAGTTCCTGGACAAAGTGCATATGCATACTTTTATCCTCCATCTAACCCAGATTACCAAGCTAGCAAGGATGAAAAGCCTCCTTTGTTGCTGAAAAGTCATGGTATGATGGAAAGTTGTTACAGGATTTGGCTTTGTTTCTACACTCAAGGAGTCAGGGTTATACTATTTAGGAAAATGCATGACCTTTTTCGGTTCTTAGCAAGTTGATGATGTTGCCCTAATGGAAATTGCAGAAAGGCAGTTCATTGATGAGTTGCTTTCTTCTAGCTGTTTTTCTTACCGAAAGAAAATAGTTTGCTTTTATTTTATTTTAAAAGCAATGGGATTAACTCAGCATTCATCTCGCAGGTGGACCTACAAGTGAAACACGGGGAATACTGAACCTGAGCGTGCAGTATTGGACTAGCAGGGGCTGGGCTTTTGTAGATGTAAATTATGGTGGAAGCACCGGTTGGTCTCTGCTCTTCACTTGCGAAGTTTTTATTTGAGTTCTTACTTCCTAGGAGCTGTATGCTGCTTTTTGATCGCACATTTCCCTAAAATTCAGGGTTTTCACAGAAAATGTTTGCATTGCGTTCATAGCTCTGCAATCTTTTGTATCTAGAAAGTTGAGTGACAGTTCTTGTGCAACTTCATTTACTTTTCCTTTAACAGTTGCGAATTCTTTGTTCACAACTCCCGCTAAAGTTTATGTGCCCACAAATTTGAAGGTTATGGCAGAGAGTACAGGGATCGCTTGCTGCTGAAATGGGGAATTGTTGATGTCAATGACTGTTGTAGCTGTGCAAATTTTTTGGTAATTTATATCCTCTCCGTTTTCTCTGTTGCAGCCTGGGATAAATGATCAACTTCTGTGTTTCTCATCCAATTCCGTTCTTATTTTCCTGTAGGTGGACAGCGGCCTAGTTGATGGGAATCGTCTTTGCATTACCGGTGGCTCAGCTGGGGGCTACACCACCTTAGCTGCTCTTGCTTTCAAAGACACATTTAAAGCTGGATCTTCCTTATATGGTGTAAGTACTTGATCCTAGAGTATTTAGGATTGGTAAGACATAGTGTAGAACAAAAATTATGTGAAGCATTTGAATATCCTTGGCTGCCATGGTATGTGTGTTCTACTTCTGGTTGTGGATATCTTTGACACGATAGACTTCCTTCTTAAATTTTTTTGTTCTCTTTCATAAACAAACAAGAAAGGGTACCATTGACTTGAGCTAATTAAAATTAAGCAATAGATCAGAAAATTAAACCTGCTGCAGTGAAAGAAGTAATATAGATTACTCCTGTTTCTGCAAGCAAACTGGACTCTGGTATGAGTCAAATCACATTGCATTTCTGGAAACCTGACTACGAGTACTCCTTTCTGATCCGTTTGGGACAATATCCCTACTTTACTCTATGAAGTTTAAATAGCTCAGAACGAAGAAACATGTAACTTTCATCATAACCTGGAAAATACTTCTGGTGTTTCTGTGAACAGGTGGCTGACGTAGGCCTCTTAAGAGCAGAGACTCACAAGTTTGAATCCCACTATATTGATAATCTTGTTGGTAATGGACAGAATATTTCAATGAATATACTCCTTGTGCTTTCAAATTGTGCCGAGGATGACGAAGTTCCCAATTGGTTGCAGGTGACGAGAAGGATGACTATGAGAGGTCTCCGATCAACTTTGTCGATCAATTTTCCTGCCCTATAATCTTATTTCAAGGCTTGGAGGATAAGGTGTGTTGCAAATCCTTTCCTATTCTTTTCTTGTTTGCTCCAAAAATGGTCTTGACCTGGCAATAAGTTAATGCCTGAAGAGATCAAGCCTATTTTCCGAATTTTGAACGCTTGAAAACTGCAATCTGTGGAATGACCCAGCGTGAGCTTTTCTTACGAGCTGCTGTATCCCTTTTTGTTTCGAGAGATTCTTCTCCAAATTTGTCTGAGACAAAGACTTTTATCCAAGATGAGATATAAGATTGTTCCTGTGTCCTTAGGCTTAAGCCCTTGGAATATGCTTTCCATCTGATACAAGCTATCTGATGCAGGTAGTGCCCCCTGACCAAGCTCGCAAAATCTACAAGGCGTTGAAGAAAAAGGGTCTGCCTGTTGCCCTTGTGGAGTATGAAGGAGAACAACATGGCTTCCGCAAGGTATGATTTGTATGAAGATTAGTTTTGTGTTTCTTTTAGTCACAAGAGTTTTCTTATCCCGGAAGACACACTTTAATAAATATAATCGGGGTTGCATGCAGGCAGAGAATATTAAGTTCACTCTGGAACAACAAATGGTATTCTTTGCACGTTTGGTTGGACACTTCAATGTCGCTGATGAGATCACTCCAATCAAAATCGAGAACTTCGACTGAAAACGAAGGTATATGAAGACTTGGATTATCGACACAAAATCATGCCTGTGTCACAAATGCTGCGGTTAGCTTATGCTGAAAGCTAAGCCACCCTGACAAGTCATTTTACTTGTAATCCAGGAAGTTTGCGATCTGTCTCTTGGAGCTCCAGACTGAGTGTTTACAGAGCTATAATCTAAACAAATGCCACTCTGGTTGGGGCCAATCAAAGCTTTCAGGAGCGCGAGAGTAATCGTTTCTTTGGTCAAGAATTTTCCTTTAGTATTCAGGAGTTTGCTTCCATACAATAAAAGGTCCTCTTTTCGTAAACCCTGTCCCGTTTGGAAGGAGGATAACCCTATTTTTTATGTCTTGCTTTAAATTCTGAAGCACTTCTGTGCTATCTGTTCTCGTTGAAGGACTAGTTTGCATCTGAAAGCAGCAAGATGTCCTGATTAGATTAACTAATGTGAGCTACCAGAAAGCTTTATTGACTTCTTAGGCTATTTGCACGGTTATAGTTTCCTTAAGTTTCATATTTTTGAAAGTTAGTTTCCTTAAATTTCATGGTTGGCAGGCAGTAAGCGTCATTCGTGGCGTTACCAGACCTCGGAATTAGTTTTCCATTCTGGGAAGTCTTTACTTCTAGATGTTAGACAATGTCTTTGCTTTAGACAGCCTGTTTCCTCCCCTTTTTTTGCTGACGAAAAAATATGGGATTTAAAAAAAAAAAATCTTTTTTTTTGTGTGTGTGTGGGGTTGTTTGATAGATAAGGTTGATCTGTGTCTGGGGATCACTATACATTGAATTGCCAAAAATCCAAATAACAAATATGACAAGAATATTGTTGCAACTTTGACTTTTCCTGTTGTTTGAATTGTTCCCAAAGTATAATAATACAAATGCATACATCGCAACCACTTTCATGTGTGTTATATTGAAAGTCCAGTCGTCTTTGTTTCTGTAATTAATATTTACTTCATTTGGCGTTTCTTTAATTACGTGATTAATCGGCCATTTGATGCTACATGGTTGTGCTTTTTTTTTTTTTTTTATATATTTGCTATGTTAATTCTTCTTTATAATCAAGTTGTTAGAGCATTATATCTCTTCTAACTAATACAATTAAGAAACAAAAAGGAGAGTTTAACTTAAAACCAAAACAGACAACTGTTGTTTATTGGGTTGGTAGGATATGCATGGGGTTTGGTTGTTAGTTCAGTTGGTACCCATAGTTTAATTCAACTATGACAGCTTCTTGTAACTTTCTCATATTCTCCTTTGAATTTTCTTGGTGTGCCCCATACTGTGTTCCCATGGCTGTGGAGTAACAGTAATAATATTTACCGCGGTAAAACAATTTCACTGATACTGAAATGACTCTTGGGCTCTCTGATTACACTAATGAAGTAACCAGATGATCCGCTGTAACTGCAGGGATATAGGAATATTTACCGTCCTTTTACAGTATTATTACAAGATGATCCGAAACAGAAGGAAAAAAAAAAGGGGAAATGATATGGTTGCTCAAGAACACCATTGATTAGGCTGTACTATCTGGTTTTCTTTTCCTCTGTGCTTTGCTCTTGACAGAACAGGAAGAACAGTGTATATAGACAACTGGGGAAGATAGAACAAATGAAGGCTCTTCACTTTGATGAATCAAAGATTGTGTATATATATATTTATATATATTTGTAGTATCATCTTTTTTTTTTTTTTTTTATCGAGCAGGGGAAGGAGTAGTGAAGGACAATCTCATCCCGAGAATCCCCTGTTTGTAAGGCAAGAAAGTCCTCTTCCTCATGTCCTCCGACGCTGCTTTGTTCTTGGTGTAATGCAGCTCGTGAGCCGAAACGGGTCCTTTCCTCCTCAACGACCCACCATTCGAACCGTTGCTGTCCGTCGACCTGATGCTGCAGCTCTTCACATCGTCGTGCCTCCTGAACAACCCCCCGAAAGCCGCATGCTTTCTGTAAGGATCTCTATCCGCAGCTCGCCCTTCCGACGCGCTTCTGAACAGCAGCAGGTCGCGCAGTCTCCACTTCCTCGACGAACTCTTTCCAGTTGCAGCAACAGCAGAAGAAGAAACAGCCGCAGTTTGCTGCAGATTGTGCTCTGGCTCTGGCTGTTTTTGTTGCTGTAATTGTTGAAATTGCCTCTCCTCTTCTTCCCATGGATACTGCGAAACCCTGTAAGGGGACAAGGATCTTGTGGCCCCTCTCCGGCTCGAACTCGAGGTAAGATTCCTCCCTCTCCCCCTTTCATTACTCGAATCAACAAACTCCATTGGCGCAGCAGCAGCTTGAGCTTTCTTCCTCCTGGGGGAGAAGGCGAAGGCGCCCTTTATGATCCGCTTCCCTTGCTCAATAGGCGACCTGGGGGAATGAATCAGCGGGCTTTTGATCTCCTCCACCTGCAGCAACCTCGGCGGGAGCTTCAAAGGCCTGATCTTGCCACCGTCAAACAGCTCGTCGGCAGCAGTAAGAGAGGACTCCTCCAGATCGGCGCTGAAATCGAATGCGAAATCCTCGTCCTTGAAGGAAGGCAGCTTCTTGGGGGGCGATTTCGGCGTCCCTGGTTTCTCTTCCCAGTGGAAAGGGACGCCGCCGCCGTCGTACTCTGAGAAATTCTCGAAGCTCCGGTAGAACTCCGCCACCCGGCCCGGGCTCGTCGGGGCGCTGAGGGTGAGGTCGCCGAACCGCCGCGGGGAAGCCGGCGCGCTCAGGAAAGGCAGCGGCCTGGCGTCGTTGAAGTCGAATCCTGCCATCCCTCTGCCTGGTGATGAAGGTATGATCACTTCCATTCTCGACATAATAATAGCTCTGAAATTATGTTTCCTGCTTTCTGGGTTCTAGTGGGAAACTAGGGAAATGGATGAATGAATGATTGTGAAATATGGCGAACTCTGCAATCTGGGAATTGGGATCATTTGTGGGGGAATAAATATGGACGGGAGGGAGAGGGAGAGGGAGAGGGAGAGGGTAGGGCAGGGGGCGGTAGGAGATAATTGACTATGGAGTCACAGGACTGTAGCCGCCGACTTTTAATAGTTGGTCAGTCTCTTCTTTCCTCTCGTTTCTTGTCTGGTTTTGTTTGCTTGCCGCGAATTTATTTATGTGGGAGTTCAGTTTCACATGGGGGGAAAGGGAATGACGAGGAGGGTTCCGGATTGGGGTATAGGCATCAATAATATTTGACCATATGACTAGACTCTAGAGAGACTAGAAGGGAAGGACCAATTACTGAATTAGTCCCTAAACGTTTAGTTACTACTTACTAACAGATTTTGTTCTTCTCGAATTATCATTGAAGTTTGGAATGATGACATGATAGTCCTAGGGGTGTGCAATGAATTGATATGTTCGAACCGCATTGAAACAAATTGAAGTTTGGATCAGACCATACCGAACCGAATATAATGTGGTTAGTTTTTGGTCTCGTGAATTTTATAAATACTGAATAAAAATGGACCAAATTGACATTTGGACCGGACCAAACCAAACTAGACCAAATGCACGGTTTGTCTGGTCTTTGATCCTAAGTTGTTTTTCACTATTGGACCATTGTTGTCACGTGTTTTTCTAGTCCAGACCAAAATGTTGCACATCCATAGACAATCCCTTCATTTAGCTCTCTTTGTTTTTTTGACCAAATTTACTAGGGGGTCGTTTGGAGAACGAGATTTAGGTCGTGGATTCATTGAATCCGTAGATTATATAGAAAGTTATGTTTTTTTGTTGCTTTTTGTATTGTGGATTTTAGTTTTAGAGATTTCAAATCTCTAAAATCTATGGATATCATATCTCTCATAATCAGAGAGATTCTATATCTTGATTCATGAGATTTTTTTTCCTCCTACCTTTTCTCTTTCTTTTATTTATTTATCATATTAAATATATTTACTAACAAATTTTTTAATATTTCTCGAACTACTCTAATTTTTTTTATTAAGGATAAACATGTTATTTAATATAAATTTTTTATTTTTATTATCATTGAATGTTAACAATCACAGTTACCAAACAATAAACATTTTAAAATCTATTTTCAACAATCCGAAGAGTTAGAATCTTTAGATTGTTTACAATCTATAGATTTAAACTCATATTCTCCAAACGACCCCTAGATTAGAATAGGATAGTCACCATAACTAATAGTAAAATATGTCGTGTCGTATGATTCTTCGATTACCTGCTATCTGGAAGGGCATGGAGGGAGGTAGGGGAGTGGTTTTAGGTGATGTGCCTTGGATTTAGGACGTCTAGTGAGTTTGCGATCGGTATTGCTTAACATAGATACTCATTCTCTGCTTAGTTATCACGTACGGTGAGGGTGTGTGTGGTTTCAAGTGTTGTGGCTAGGAATCGGGTTGGGTAAAAGGTTTTGATATGGATCGACCATGAGTTAGAACAAGTCATCACTCCATCAAGATAATATTTGTCTGATTGTTTTTGTTATTGATTTGGTTGAGCTAACAGGCGCCTGACACACGGATGTAGATAAATTTTTTTATTATCTCAAAGTGTGTTAAAAACAAAGTTTAGGTGGTGATATGCTAGTGGCCTCGAAGTCAAGTGACCATTGTGTAATTGGGGCTTGGTTGTGTTTTGGTGAGCAAGTAATTTCCGGTCCTGTTAACGGGTGGTAGCCTGGTTGGTGAATTGCGATTAGTGATGGCAATGGGGTCGAGTAGGGTGGCCGTACCTCAATATCTATGTTCCTTCCCATGTTATTATGGGTCGGGGTGGGTCGACGTATTCTTACATGTTATTGAAAATAATATGCGCAAAATTTAATTTTTATGATAAAATGAAAGAAAAAACACTTTATGAATGAAAAATTGTGATACTAGAATGGGTAATTGAGTCTAACTTATTAAAAAATCAAGTCTAACTAATTGAAAAGGCAAAAATAAGAGAAATATGAATAGATACTATAAAAAATTGCGATAGGTCAAGAACAGGGCGGAATGAAGTAGGGCGGGTCAAAAGTAGATACTCATATCAAGCCCCACGCTACTGCGGGTCGGATAGGCGGGTTCAAATTGTCATCCCTAACTGTGATCTAGACGCGACGAGGAGCATTGTTAGGGGGAAGAAAAGTATATTACGGTGAAAAAAGAAAGTTATTTTATTTAGGAGTTGGATTAGCCGTAAAAGGGAAGTTAAGTATAGAGAGGGTATTAATCTTATATATGGGAATTTTTTTGAGGGTAAAGATTATGCGTGTAGAGTTCATTTGTGTTCTCTATAAACAAATGTTCATTTCTGTTCATTTGATTACTATTTTCTACCTGGTGTTCGGTGAAAATCCAATGGTTAGTAACGAAGATAAAAATAAAGTCATTGTATAGTAAATGATATTGAGCATAGTTAGTAAATATTCAATTTGTTACGCGAATATATGTGTGCATAAGTATTTTATGCTTTAAAAATTTTAGTTTACGTACTATTGACATGCCGTTTCATTTTTCTCGTCCATATGATGTCTCACGTACAATACTCTTATAAAACCCGTATAACATGTTTAATATTTGTATGTAATGAATTTAATTAATAAGTTCAATATTATTTATACATTATTTACTTTCAAAATAATTAATTTCACAAATCTTATGACTTTTGAAGTACTATTAGGCATATTATTAGTTTAATGATAAAGTAAAACATTGTAATTTACGCGTATCGTATTTTACGCTATGGTATTGATTTCTGTTTGATGTGTACTTTTACGTGCACTGGAAATTATGAATAGGGATGGCAATGGGTCGGGTTTGGTCGGGTTTTGCCAAACCCAAACCCAAACCCATGCGTTTATCCGTGAAAAAAATCAGGGGTAAAACCCACTGGGTTTGAAAAATTCAAACCCAACCCAACCCGCTGGGTATCCGTGGGTTCATGGGTACCCACCGATTTTAGTCATAAAAAATTTACAATAACAAGTTCCTATCAAAATTAAAGTTAAATATCAATCTCTCAATACAAATTATCCATATATAAAACACCATTCTAGAAAATTCAAGCAAATCACAAATTAACTATACAAATTGTTCAACACCAATATAGAAAACTCAAGAAAATTGAAGCAAATCACAAATTATCCATAAATAACATGATTAATTGAAAGCTTCTTCCTTTCAATTAAGTTTCTTCACTATCCACTCGATAACATCAACTTCATTCTACACAATTTGAAAGAAAAAATTAGACATGTCTCCACAAACATAAATAAGATTATTGTTTAGAATATTAAATATACCGAGAAAATTAACTATATGAGTGTGAGCGGGTACCCATGGGTCGAGTTTACCTAAACCCAAACCCAACCCGGTGAATAGTGAACGGGTTTAAACCCAAACCCGACCCAAAACCCGTCAACACGAATTTTACCCGCGTTGACCGAGTTGGGTCGGGTGGGTACCCATGGGTTCGGGTTTTGTTGCCATCCCTAATTATGAAGCCATCTGTCATTATGCAGATTGCCTGTATATATTAGTTCCTGGTAGTGTGATTGACCGGTCAGTGATAGTGAAATTATGTCATTGCTTAACATTGTTTGCTTGGGTTTAACACGGAGGAAGAAGCTGTAACTTAAGAACAAAGAGAAGTGGGATTAATCTAGAAATTGGGTTCGGTAGAAACTTAATCCCAAAAGTGAAAGAACAAATTAGTGGTCGTATTAAACTTGTGTTACTAATTATATTGTGTGGTAGATAAGAAATTGACACTGATAGATACCAGTGCCCTCTTGTTTATTTGGCTATACTTTAATTGCTTATGGATGGAAGGGAGTCTTGTTCCTAAATCCTAAGTCATTAACTAATAGATTTATCGGGAGATTTTTATGATATTAGTTTTTTTATTGATGTTGGTGGACAAATGACGGTTGATTACAGAATGTTAATTTTTTTTGGTTGTTGCCTTCAAACTTTAAATTTAAAGTGTTTTCATCAACACCTTATCATTAGCTCAATTCTTGGATTTACAAAATAAATTTTTTTACAAATATTTTGGATTTGCTAATTTCACGATATCATTTATCGATATTTAGTATTAAACATGTCATATTGCTTGTTGTTTCAGGTGGAAGTGATCAATGCACCTTGACTTCAAGAAAACAGAAAACGATGTTACTTGCTTCACACATCTTCAAACACTGTTCGAACAAAAGTGTTCGATGCATACATCAAAGGAACTTGCTACTTTTACCTCTACTCCTATGGAGATTCCTTGAGAGCTCCGCAACTGCTGACTACAACTAAACAGAGAAGCCTCGCTGGAGGGTCGCTGGTGCTACTGCTACGGTTACTATTCTAGAGAGAAAAGATAAATTTTGACGAGATTTGTTGTGGTTTGATTTGTCTGTCCCTCTTCCAAAGTCTTGCTGTGAGTTTTGTTGTGCCTCGTCCTCTAACCGCCTTCTCTCTCTCTTCCCAAAATAGCTCCACGTAGCATCCAGTAACTCCTTCGAGCGTCCTTTGCAAGTTAGGTGCTGCTTCTGGTAACCACATCGACACGTCATCATGTCACTTGACCATTGGACGGTCACCGTACGCAAAACAAATTGGACGGTATCCAAGTTTACTAAGACAACAATCCATTGATGGTACGCATATTAAATGGTCACCATACCCTAGCATCATCCATTAGGGTTTGGACGATATCCATTACGTTGGACACTACCATCCATTATGGATTTTGGATGGTATCCATGTATTTGAACACTACCATCCATGCACACATGGACCAACTACTCTAATTGGCCAAGCTGTTCATACAAATAATAATTAATGAAAATTATTTTGGTGTAAACACTTGTTTAACTTTTTCTACTGTGTTTTTTGTTTGTTTGTACATTGTTTAAACCGGGTTATGTTATTGAAATGCTATCTAAAAAGTAAAATGTTCGGTATTTATAAGTTGTTACAATATATATAAGCTATTATTTTAGAGGTTGTTTTAGTTTTGGTGATGTTTTGTTTGAAATAGTTACAATACTTGTATTGTTCACCATACATTTACTTTTTAAAATTTTTAATACAAACAATATAAGTATTGTCTGTTTGATGTGACAAAAACTATAACTCTGTTACGTGGGTTATTTGTTGGGTAGAGTTAGGATTCCTTTGAGTAGCGGCCAAGTAATAGTAGCCGAGTAGGCTTAGGATTAGTTTAGGGTTTACAGCCCTATAAATATGTACTTATGTCGTTTGTTCTATTCAGTATATGAAGAAGAATATTTCAGTTTATCGTTATTAGTTGTTAGCTTCTCCTTTTCGTCCCAGTTCTCTTCGTTCTAACTCTATTCCTTTCGATTATCATACGATTCTTACGATGTAAGTTGCGTGGGAGTTTCTCACCGGAAAAGATATAAATGATATTTTCCTAAAAAGATAATATAACTTATTTAAAAACTGCGAGAACT